AAGCACCAACCGGTGCATATAACCGGTCCCTATAAACGAACAGATGAGCTCAAAGAAAAATAATAGTCATGAGAAAAGTGAAGTCAGGTAACAAGTCAACACTGTATATTATAGAAATATAGAAGCTAACGGAAATTGATAAAACCGAAACAGTCAAAGAAAAGAAACGCAGTTACAATTTAGAAAAATTGCGCATAGCATAAAATTAAAACAAAGAAGGTATAAGCAGAGTAGTATAATTTAGAATATCTGAGAGTTTCTAAATTGTTATCGTAACATACATCAATTGTTTTGTGTAAGAGAAAAATCGAGTCTCGTTATATTGTCGAACAATTATGATAAGCATAATGTGTTTGCTGTTCCAAGTGTAACGCTAGATGGCAAGAGAATGCAATATCTTACATCGTCAAGAAGAGCTATTTTATTCGACACAAGGTCATATACTTTCATTCTAATATTGACGCAGTAGAAAACTTGAATAACGAAAAGTGTAATCAGCTCATTGATATGTTAAGATATATTTAATTTCTTGTTTTGTAATATATAAATGTGAATTAATTAATACATAATCATTGTTGTGTGACAGAAACATATCATTATAGAACATTATAAATGTAGTATTAAAAACAATGAAATATCACAAATGATATCTTATCGTTGCTCCTTTTTAACAATGAAACAAAGAATAGCAGTAGATTACTGCCAACTAATTGTACATTGATACATAATGATGATAATTAAATCAATCTAATCATAATCATAAAGAACAAACAATGAAATTTTGTTGCATATTATATTATCATCAAGTTATGTATAAATACTTATATCCAAATAAGAAAATTTCCAGTTATATCGCGTAAATTACGTAATTAACATATATGTACAAATATATATGTAAAACTATTTATACGTTCTATCAAAGTTGTCTAACACACACACACACACACACACACACACACACACACACACACACACACACACAATATCTAATAAAAAGATCTTATGTAGTTCTTTCATAATTTGTTATGTATAATATAAATATTTTCTTATCTATCTTAATGTTCCCATTAAATTAATTGTATTTTAAAGATGAAAAATTAACTTTAAACAAAACAATCTTTCTTTTATCATATATATTTTTTTTTAATTTAGTAAATATGATAATCTTTTTTTCTGCATAAGTACCGAGAACTTTTGATGCACTTAAAAACTATGATTCAAAATTCATGTTTATAAACAAAATTTTTTATTTTTATTTCAGAATTCTCTTAATTTACGTCTATAATATTTTTTGCACAGCAATAAATCCTTTTTTTACGAGAACTTCTTCTTTAGAGAGCTACTAAAAGAAAAATTTTTTCTTTACTATATTTATCAAGAAATTTTTCATTACACGTGTAATATTTGATTTTTTTAGCTTTTCCATAAAATATTATTTCCTACAATTGCAAAATTCCTTTGTCATATCAACTACTTGATATCATTCCACGTGATATCAACTAATAGAACTATTAAAAAATATATCTTACGAAATAAAAGATGTCGAATAAGAATTGCAATATACTATTGAACATTCAGAACTTTAAGTTAATATTAATAATATTAAATCTGTAACAGATAGAGAGAGAGAGGGAGAAAGCAACAGCTGCTCTTGACCGATTTCTCTACAGTTTTTTTTCCTTCTCATTCACATTCCTTATACTCCCTTCTGGCGCGGCATGACAAGCTGATGGTGGGGAGTTAAGACGATATTTCTCTCAATGCTTGAAGTTAAGCCCGTATCAGACTACGCATTGAAGATTGTGATTCAAGATTCAAGATTGAAATTTGACCAATCAGAATAAAGAAATTTTAGTCCCTTTTGTTCTGATTAGTCAAATTCCAATCTTTAATCTTCAATCTTCAATTTTCAATGCGTAGTCTGATACGGGCTTTAGGCTGCGTTCCGTTTCATACACGATGCGCATGATGCATTACTTATCCTTGTTGTTCACCGAATGTTAAACAAGGAAAAGTCATGCATCATGCGCATTATGCATGAAACGGAATGCAGCCTTAGACGGTTTGTTAGAGAACTCTTCAGTTTGCGCCAGTGAAAATACAGTCATGCACAGACATCGGTGCCACATCGGCGACAATTGAAGTGAACCGTTTCAGCGTGAGTTTTCTCGCATTGACGAATTTGCGAATTATTTTTCTGCACTAGAACTTTGTATGTGCTAAAGTGCTAATCTCGCGTTCCCAGCACTCTGATTCTGCGACATTGACTTTTATCATATATGAACGTATGGCTAAAACAGTGTTCTGACATCGCTATGAAATTACCATGAAAGGTTTTTATATTATAACATTTAGATGTGAATATATTAACAGTTGCAAATTAAAAATACTCTGATAATTTGCATGCCTTGGAAATAATTATCAAGTATTATTATCTCTAATTATCCACTGAATAAACAATATAATCAATGCATTTGTTTATTGTGTATAATTGTACTTCACTTGTATACCAATTCAATTATACTATTTTCCAGGCTATTGACAATTGCAATAAAATTCTATTTTGATATTTTAATATATTAGAATTTGTACAAGACGAATTAAGATATTTCTATGTGACGCATCTCCATTCGAAAAAAGGCGAACAGAAAGAAACCATTTTTTCATGCAATAATATATGTATACATATTACAAAAAGAAGAAAAAGAATATTTCATAACTAAATATTTCTAGTATTATTATCTAGTAATTAAATTCTCTCTCTAGTTTAAATCGTGAAAATAGTGAGTTTCTTATTCTATCTATATATAATATACATTGCATAACTTATTTTTTATTTTTTTTTATCTTTTATTTTAATCTTTTAAGTTTTTTAAATAAGTAAATATATAACGATATAACAGGAAATCAACAATTATCTATCATGATTATTATATAGTGTAATATATATGTGAAAAACAGGTTTTGATTAAACTTCGGCTTCATGAATATGTAATGTATGTATATTTTTTATAATAATCAAGATGACAAAGAAAAAAACGTGATTTACATGAACGGATTTTAAAAACTGAAGAATGAATAGGACGTTTTAAATATTTATTAATCACGAGATGATAGGTGGTATCACAATATGTGAGATTTTGCAAGCCGATCGTTTGTCACGAAAATAGACGCAAAATTATTTTCTATTTGCAAGTACATAAATGCTTACAGAACGTCATTATTTCGCATCCATACTACATTTAGTTTATAAATTTTTTAGGCAGTAAAAATTATTCATAAGCTTATTTAAATATTATATGTGTTTATAGCATAAGTTTTTAATACTCACAAATGAAATATAGTATCAATTTTACTTTTTCGTCTTGTAAGATAAAAATACTTAATTCAAAATGTATAAGAAAAATCTTGATGGTCTAGGACACTCTGTATATATATTGATAATATTTAAACGTTATAAATAAAAATAATAACATTAAATAAGAATAAGAAAATCTCTCACTCAATATTTTTTAGGATCTCATCACACGAGGCAAATCGTTGCCACCTATAAGTACGAATACAACTTGCGATAATGTAGCAGTTCTACCATTCTCAAGTGGCACGACTGGATTTGTATGTTTTTCTTTTTTTAGGTGGGGTTATATTCCTTAACGAGATCCCGAAGAGTACTACTGGAAAAATTTTAAGATCAAAATTGAAGAGCGAGTATCAGTCTTAAATCGAAATGGTTTTTAATTAAAAGTTGTTTATATAATGAAATCAATAATATAAAAAATATCATGTAATGATATGTATATGTATAAATAAGGATATAATTTCAACTAACGTTATTTTAGGATTATTTAAGAATATCACATGGCAGCAGAATATATTTAACGCCATGAGTTAATGCAAAAGTGCTTGTAATAAAATTGAAACATATCCATGGATATCTCGAACTTTTATCTATTTTCTCTTAAATTGATATTATTATCTATGGACTGTCGTTCGATCTAATTGCAAAAAGATACTTCTATGTCAATTTTATTATTAGAAAATCTATTTTTTCAAAGAAGACAATTCAATCGTATATAACATTTTATTTCCATTAAAAAAAATATGTCCCATAATAAACTTCTTATTTTACAAATTTCTTTTTTTATATTTACGATTACTTGACGATTTTCATATTTATAAGATATTGTAGCAGGAAATCCCCTCCACTCTTAAAAAAGATTCGTTAAATCGATATTTGCAAGTATTGTCGCCTCTTTTCCGCAAAACTGATTGGTTATCTCGACATTACGCATTACTTCATATCAATAGAAGCCTATCATAGCTGAGCCGCATATTTGATAGTTCAAATATTAAATGTGTATATAATTTTGATTTAATTGATTTTCAAAAAACGTGTAACTAGAGTTAATATGTAAGTAATTTTATAAATATGTGTGTGTATTCGCGTGTAAAAAAAGATTAACGCTGTTAATAATTAAAACTCTTACATTTGAAAGAACATAGTAAAAACTATAGGAAAATATAATAATTATAATAGAGTAGATCTTTGCGTTTTGGAAATCATAATTTTCCGCATGTCGTATAAAGACATATTCAACTAATAAGATAAACAGATTTTTTCGCATTTCCGTATTATTTTATATGCAAAGTACAGTTCTTTCTAATAAAAATATACAGCTTTAATATATATACATATATACATACACGCGCATATTTAATATATATACATACACGCGCACACATACAAGATTATCTACTTGTATGCAATCTATGAGACGTCATTCCGAATGCCTGAGTAACTAGATTTACTCAAGGTATGAAAAAATATTAGTACATTCCAATCTATATAATTTTGAAAAGCAAAAATTTGTGACGTAGCATCTCCCACTATTACAATAAAACTATTTACGTGTGCCCGCGCAAATGATAACAAGGTATAAGATATAAACAATAGAGTTCTAATGTTTATGTCGCCAAGGCTGAACATCTGTTATTGATAATACATCACAACGTTACTTCCTTACGTGTTGACTTATCTTCAGCAAACCACAACTGTAATTTATGCGATATTACTGAACGTCTCTTTCGATTCCCTCGTGTATGGTCTTATTATTCATACCTGCGGACAAATTGACCTGCTGTGTTATCGATTGACAGAAATATTTCGATTTCTTCAAGAAAATAACGAAAACAATGCAAATACCGCCATTGAAAATTTTGCTATCGCAGGATGCGTGAAACATCATATTTTAGTTTATAACATCATATACAGGATACAAATGTTATTCGTGTGGACTGTCGCCACTTTATTCTTCTTCAGCCTCATCACTCTTTGTACCAGCATCTATCAGATGTCGAAAGTAAAAAAGAATTCCATTTTATATATTTTTAGTAAATATAAAGATTGATATATGAAACATAATTTAATAACATTAATATTTATAAAATTGATTGATGAAATTTAAAACATAAACAATATTTTATTATAGAAAGAGCTCTTTGGCCCGGAATTCTTCGCTGTTATCATGTACTTAGGATCAATGATGTTCCAAGTATTCACATACTGCTGGTATGGCAATGAGCTTGACTTGAAGGTGTCGCTAATAATAAACTTTCCCTTTTTTTATTTCTTTTTGATATTTTAGATTTTTTTCATATATATATAAAGTAATATATTTTTTATTTAGAATAAAAATATCGCGTATGCTATTTATACAAGCAACTGGACGACAATATCAACAAAGCAACGTAAAAATTTGTTGCTCGTGATGATGATGAGCCAGAAAGGAAGAATACTTTCTTTTTAGGAGTTTGCGCGCTAATCCTTAACAGTTTCACGTGGGTGAGTAACTTAACATACGCAACAAATAAAATTCAAAAAAAGAAATATATATATATACACATATATATATTCGGATTAAATTTGCATTTAATTTGTCTTATATATATATTCTATATATATTCTGAAAATTACATAGTTATGTATTCTTCATATATATGCAGATTGTTAAAACGTCCTACTCTGCCTTCAACTTGTTGCAGCAAACTTCGAATTAGTATTTTCTATCTATTCTTTAGCAAATGTAATATTATTGCCTTAATTGATATTAAATGTATTTTCGTACTATTGTATATATTTACTAGTAGAGATATTGATTTTTAAATATTTTTATATTAGAAACTTATTTTCTGTAGATTACTTACCGAATGAGCATGTTCCATCTATTCGTTAGTTCTAAATAAAATAAAATTTTATGCGTTGAATATTTTTCCAAATAATTAAAAAGATACAAATGCAAAGGAGCATACCTGTAATTTATTCCACGCTTTTAGACTTATAATATATTATCATTTGACTTGCAAACTTTTCATCTAATTGTCAGCTTTTCTGATAAGCGACCGAAGTTTGCAGATAAATTTTTCACGATCAATAGCAGTATGTAATACTTTAATAATGTATATGTTACTTTCAATATTCGTTTCTGTATAACAATGTACGAGAAATTATTCAAGTTTATAATTTATAAAAATAACGTATACGTATATCGTCGTAGAAGTTTGATAAACGCATTGAAAATAAATTCAGAGACAAGAAGAAAATATAGTAGTAAAAGAAATCAGCGAAGAGAGCCTCCCTCTATTCGACGACATTAAATGTTAAGGAACACTTATGAAGAACGTTCTAGCGACTTCATTACTAATTCACGAGAACGAACGTTGACGATGTATGATATGTTTTGTTATATTTTTTTCTATAAGTTGCATATTTTCGAGACATAGCGAGGTATGATAAGAGGGTGACTCTGCCCAAGTGAAACAACACCGAAACGATCATTCCGGAATAATGGATATATTGCCATTGAATTTCCGAGTTTTATGGTTTTGCGGTGCATGGAGCGAAGAAAAAGATAACGGTCTTTTCCTTCGTTTTATAAGTTTCTGCTACAGGTATAATAATGAAAATGTGATATATTCGTCCAAATCATATCTTGTCTATGCATATCACAGATTTAAATTTGTAACTACACACATTGTATATTAATTTTGAGAAGAGTCTGCACTATATCTCACGATAACTTTTGATTATTGTATTTTCTTTGCCCTCTCATTTAAATTTTTAAAAAATTAATTTATTGATAACATTTTTATTACTACAGACATACATCATTTATCTGTACATTTTTAAAATTTAGTAAGAAAAGTTTGTATTTGATTATATCGCAGAGGAGAATCTATTTTCACTTAATTTTTAGTTAAACTCAAATAGCTCGCCTTTTATTCAGATGATACGTGATGACATGACGATCAGACATATAGTTGGGCATTTCTATTTATTAAGATATAATTAAATTTTTAGATACGCCATAGTAATTTTAATATACGAATTTACGATATCTGAAGTAATTGAACTTGTAAGAACTCACGACCATATCGAAGATATAACAGAAGGACTCTTCCTAGCGTTAACTTATGTAGCTCTATGCATTAAATATGGAAACTTCTTGGCGCGAAGAGATGAAGTATCCATGTTGTTGGACTGTTTTCGTGGCGAAACGTGTCGACCAAAAAATTCCAAAGAAAAAATGATCCTAATTAAGTACGATCGCAAAGGTACTCAGCCAGTAATTGCCATTTTGACGAAATTATTGCAAATAATAAACCTTAATATTAAAATAAGAATTATTGCAATAGTATTATTATTATTGTAATATATTCTAATAATAATATTATAAAATAACAAGTTTTTTTAAATATAATATATTTATATAACGTTATAGTGATAGTATATTAAGATTTTTTTGTGAAAGATCATAGAGGATAAATTTATATTAAAATTAATTAAATCCGAAATTAATTTTCCAATATTTTACAATACACTCACACACACAATATTCTATTTAAATATGTGATATAAATTTTTAAAAATATAAAAATAATATACATACATATGTCTATCACCAGCCAAATGGTGCGTCCGAGTTTTTATGAGTATATCTCAAGCCACTTGCATAGCTCTCGTGCTCGCTCCTATTGTGGGACCTCAAGATACAGACAGACCTCTACCATTCAAGACATACATGCCATACTCGATAGCTGGCTTATACCCGTACTTGGCTACGTATCTTCAGCACGTAGGTGCCATATTTTATGGGGTCTTGCTCAACGTCTCATTCGATTCCCTCGTCTACGGCTTCACCCTTCATGTTTGCGGACAGATCGAATTGCTATGTTATCGTCTATCGGAAATCTTCAAGGATCACTCTGATATCGCACAATATCGATTCGGTTCGAATAAAGGCGCGATGATTAGCGAGTGCGTGAGACATCACTTACACGTACACGAGATTGTACGCAAGATACAATCGTTATTTGTATGGACCGTGATGCTTTTATTCATTTTCAGCATGGTCACCCTATGCACCAGTATTTTTCAAATGTCTAAGGTTGCGTAAATTCAGATTCTTACGTTCCATTGTTAATTTTTTACAATTTAAATAACATTGTATAAGTTTTTGTAACATTATGTTAAATATTTTTTTTTTTGTATAGCAGATAGCCAACCATTGATTAAAAGCGTAATTACTATGTATTATCTATCTGCTAATCCTCTAATTCGCGATGCGTATAATTATATCGCGCGAATATATTAAACTAATTGTAAGTTTGTTTTGTAGAAGGAGATTCTTAGCGTCGGATTTCTCTCATTAATTTTATATCTCGGGAGCATGCTGTTTCAAGTGTTCTTCTATTGTTGGTACGGGAACGAATTACAACTGAAGGTGTGATAAAATGATAATTTATTTTAAAGCCTATTTTAGTCGATCTATAATTCGCGACGAAACATTTGGAACATAAAATCACATTTGTAATTGTAATTATTCTAGTCATATAATGTTTACTTATAATTTTGTATCGAATTGTAGATCAAGAAAAGGGCTTAAAAACTTACCATGAATGAGAAATTTTTTTATCGCGTGTGCAGAGCAAAAGCATCGGCGACGCTATTTATTCAAGTAATTGGACGACTGCCACCACATATGACCGCAGAAGTTTGCTGTTCATGATGACTATCAGTCAAAAAGGATTGAAATTATCTTATTATGGTATTTTTAGCTTGGCCCTCGATACTTTCACCTGGGTAAGTTTATGGCGATGCTATACCTATATAACTGATTCAATAGAAACAACAAAGCAATAATTAATTATTAATGGTGTTTTTTATGCAGATTTTAAAAACATCCTACTCTGCTTTTAATGTTCTGCAACAAACATCAATATAACTATACCTGGATTATAGAAAAACGGGGATTGTATATACATTTAAATTACATATTTCTTCTTTCTGTTCGTGTATTTCAGATATATAAAAGTTTTTTTAAATAGAATCTTCTCTCTAAATTATTTATATTTTTATACACTTTATAAAAAAGTTAACTTATTATACATACGAGCGTAGAAGTAAGAAGATTAAAAGATGAAATATTATGTCCATGTCATCAATATCAGCAGACTTTCCGCAATGGTTTTATGTATACAATTTATTTATTACGACTATATTTTTCACGAAACAGACGCAACGTACTTAATATTTTATCAACGAAGGTTGTCATTTGGATAAATTTATTCTGCAATGATAATCTAGAGCTAAAACACAACCTTCGTATTATTTTTTTCTATCAAAACGGTATACATACATAGCATTGGAGGAAGGTTGCATAGTTAACAATGCCATAAATTGATCGTCTTTAAAATTTAAATACGTTCGATGATATTATACGCGTATGCTATTATTATATTATTAATGTAGTTTACAATGATGAAATGTTACCGGAAATTTTTTCTTATTGTAATCGAACTTCAACTCATTATGCATTATTGAGAAACGAAGAATTTCTATCGTCTTGAGATAGAGACACACCAAATGACAAAGAAATAACGTGCAGCTATGGACATTCTGCCAGTAAATTTTAAAGTCTTATGGTTTTGTGGCGCATGGAAAGAACGAAATGACAATAACATCATTGTTGGTTGTCTACATTCCTGTTACAAGTATTTAAGTGCATAAAATATAAGGGTGGCTTATCTGTATTTAGAATTAAAATAAAGATAAAATTATTTTCATTTTTATATTAAATTGTTAAAGTTATCAGATTAAAGAGAGAATTTTTCTTTGGTTATTTGAAACTATTGATCGTAAATTTTATACTCGCAGGTACGCAGTCTTTTTCCTAATATATGAGTTTACGATATTTGAGGTGATAGAACTGATTCGCACGTGTGATCGAATCGATGAGTTCACTGAAGGACTCTTTTTGGCATCGACTTATGTAACATTGTGCCTGAAATATGCAAATTTTTTGCTACGAAAGAACGATGTGTCTGAGTTGTTGGATTGTCTGCGCGTAAAAATATGCCAACCGAGAAATTCGACGGAAAAGATGATAATAGAGACGCATAGTCGAAAAGGTATTCAGATAATTATTGAAAGTAACATATATGCGAGCCGAAAAATTTTTTTCATTAACTAATCGCGCTATATTATACAAAACAATTTAATTATTGTTAGTAAAACTCGATAAAAATTCACTGATTCAACACACTGACCGCTTTTCTCGATCGGTTCGAATTCTGGCGAACGAGTCTTTTAGTGAACTAAATTGAAATATTTATGACAGCTAAGTGGAGCACTCTCTCCTTCTTAATCATATCACAAATCACTACTATGGGTTTCGTGACCGCGCCGATTCTAGGATTTGGCAAAGATGAATGGATCCTACCCACAAAATCGTACGTTCCCTATTCCGTTTCGGAAATATTTCCATATGTGGCGACGTATCTACAACAAACTGCAGCGCTGTTTTATGCAGTTATGCTCAACGTTTCATTCGACTCCCTCGTTTACGGTTTCACAATTCACGCTTGCGGGCAGATCGAGCTGATATGTCGCCGATTGACAGATAATATTAAGATCTCGATAAATTCTCGGAAAGGATCGGATGCAACTGCGTCGATTAAGGAATGCATCAGGCATCATATACTCGTGCACATTTTTGTGAAGAAAATAGGAGCGCTATTCCTGTGGACAATCATGGTCCTTTTCTTTTTCAGTATGATTATTCTATGCACCAGCATTTTCCTGATATCAAAGGTTGGGATAATATGCTCTTTTGTCGATTTTTCTTTATAATTAATTCTATAGCTAAATAATTAAACAAATATATATATATATACATATAACTTTAATTTGCTTAGCTTATAATCTTCTAAATTACAATATAATTATAACATTTATATTTTAATAGCGTAAAAAAGAGGATATACATAAACTTTATATTTCTAAAGTATCTCATATTAATTTCTAAAGTATCTTATATTAATTCAATTATATAAGCAATTAATATTATTACTTCAATATTATTATGATAGTATTTTTGTATTTTTTTAAATCCTAGACATATGAAAAAAATTCATTTATGTATGTATTTGTTTCGTATTGTTTGTAGTTCATAAATTAAATTAATTTTGCAGACAAAACTCTTCAGCATTCAGTTTCTTTCTATGATACTATATTTTAGCAGCATGATGATGCAGATATTTTTTTACTGCTGGTATGGGAACGAGCTTGAGTTAAAGGTAAACAATTATATAATAAAGATAAACAATTATATAATACTTCGATAAAATTTCAGAACCGTGAAATGCAAAATATTAATATTGTTCTATAAGAAAATATTAGATTTGATTATACAACGAATAATCGTCAACTTTTTTTGCAGAGCAAAAGTATCGCGAATAGCATTTATTTTAGTAATTGGACATTGACCACATCGCATGAGCGTAGATCTCTAATACTCATTATGATAAACAGTCAAAAAGGGTTGACGTTTTCCAATAAGAGAATATTTACGTTATCTCTGGACACTTTTACCTGGGTAAGAAAACTCGGAAATAAATATTATAAGTTATAATATTATACATATAATAACATTAAATTTTTAATATAAATTATAAATCATTATTTTAATTATATTCATATTTTATATTTATATTCAT